AAAATGTCTCTGTTACTTTATTTAGTGGTCAAACCTACCGTCAGGAATCTCAGGTTCCCATGACTAGGGCGAAAGTCTAGGGCAAAGAAGGTTCACTATGGGTGGAGAAGGATCAGGTTATGGAACATTCAAATAGACCAGCCATGTTCCAGTCCCTATAGGATACATCCAGAGAAACTGTGTTAGCTTGCTTAATGTCAGTAGAGGCCACTCTCAATTACCTTCAAAAGGTCATGGCAAGTGGGGAAGGTCCCTGAGGACTCAAAGAAAGCAAGGGTAACTCTTGTCTTCAAGAAGCACAGGAAGAAGGATCTGGGGAATTAAAAACTGCTCAGCAACACCTCTGTTCCTGGGGGAGGTGGTGGGGCAAATCAGCCTGCAAACTATTTCCAAATGTGTCAGCGATAAGCAAATGGTTGGGAGGGGTCAGTATGGCTTTATGATGAGAGAAAACTCAGTTCATAAAGTTCAGCAAATCAAGTTCTGCACCTGGGCAGGAATAGCTTCAGGCACCATGACAGGCTGAGCACCAGCTGGCTGAAGACTAGTTTGGCAGAAAAAGATGTGGTGCCTTGGTGATCATCAAGCAGGCCTTAAGCCAGCAAGGTGTCCTTGTGGCAAAGGCAGCCAATGGCCCCCTGGGCTGTGTGAGGGGAAGCGCTGCCAGCAGATTGAGGGGGGTGATCCTTTCCTGCACCTCAGCCCTGGTAACACATAGCTGGGTGCATCCAGAGTGTAGATGGGTGCTTCCCAGTACAAAAGAGATGAGGACATACTGGAGAGAGTGCTGCTAAGGGCCACAAAGAAAATGAAACTATTAGAACATAATTGTGTGTAATTCTAGGAGAGACTGAGACTATTCTGTCTGGACAAGAGAAGGCTGGGGGTCAATAACTTATACATAAATACCTCATAGGAGGTTGCAAAATAGAGCAGAACTTCTCCCAGTAGTAATGTTCCATGAAAGGACAAGAGGCAATGGAAAAAAACTGATATTCAGAAAGTCCAACTTAAACATAAGAAAAAGCATCTTCAGTGCTTAAACACTAGAAAAGATTACTCAGAAAGGTTCTGGAGTCTTCATCTTTGCCCATACTCCAGTCCTAGGAAAACTGCGTGCTCTATATGATCCTGCTCTGAGCACAGGGATGAATCAGACAATTTCCAGAGCTCTCTGCCAGTATCAACTATCCCTTGACTCTGGGAAGGTTTAGCCAGCATGCAGCACCCTTGTAAAACTTGGACAAGTGGTAAAACTCTCCACAGTACAGCAAGACAATGCAGTTCTCACTTTGTCAGTGTTCCCTTCCTAGACAAACCAGAAACCTATGGCATTACCTGGCTGGCTGGCTACAGAATCACATGTGCCATCACTCTCATTGGCTTAGCATCCAGAGCCTGAACATGCCACTTCAGAATGCAGTGAAATCAGAAATGCATTGGGAAGGAAGACTGTTGGTGAAGGATTATAGCTGGCTTTGCTTCACAAGTTCTACCACTGGCAAGAGGGAGTAGGCCTGGCTTGTTACCCTGGTGCTGCCATACATAAAGGCCTGTCCACAATTAAGACAAATTTTTACTGAACATAGCGGAATGCTGCTGGCATTGCCAGCTCTCTCTTCCCATGCTTTCCTCTAATTCCCTCAAAGAGACTTACTTTGGCTTGAAACTTTCCTTGTTTGCACTCTGGCCAGAAGCAAAGTGTTTTGGATCTTTTCAGCAAAATCTGCTGGTTTTTAGTTCTCCGCTTTGGCGCAAATTACTTCCAAACAAAAATAGTTCCAGAAATGAGCTCTGACTGTGAAGCATTTTTGACCAAATATAGGGAGAGTCTGCCTGATTGTTTTTTAAAAAGGCATAAAATGTAATGAATCTAATGATCAAATTGATTATGGCCAAAATTATCACACATAATTCAATGTAAGAAGTTAACATCTATAGCCATGCAGCTATATCAAGACCTAAAAAGGGAGGAGACTTCTTTTGCACAATGTGTTACACCTGTCTAAATCCCATCAATCCAGTTAGCATATAAAATAAATCAGTATTTTCTAATTTTCCTCTGTTTAAAATAAAAATACCAAGAGTAGTTTAAATAACAAGAAAAGGTACATGTAATACCACAGTCACCCACAAACCATGATCTTGCTTGCATTGATGATAAAAGTTGTTTTTTCAGTGGTGTTTTGTTAATTAAAAGACTGAAGTTTCCTTACAAAAAGCCTAGCTGTTTTTCTCACAGGGTGAAAAAAATCTGTAAAGAAAACAACTGTAAGTCTTCTCTACTAACTGGGAGACCCTTAAATATCCTACTACCGTTTTAATACAACCTTGCTCTGCAGGTTATAAGCTACTGCTAGGAGATAACTTTCTTCACTGGTGGTCAGAAGAGGGCAAGCCACCACGCCATCATGATTTATTTCCATTCCTATAACCTTTTTTTTCTGCTTCTCTTTTCCTACTACTCATTCTAACCTGCTTTGTATGAGGACTTTCCTGGAACCTTTTCACAGTAATTAACAGCAGTACAATTCCAAACAATGCTTAAAACTGATCACAAGATATTTGTTCATCTTCACTGCTTGCTGGCATAAAAATAACTCTTCCACATAATTATCTATCACATACAGCAATCTGCATAAGCAAACGGCTGAATTAGCTTGCTGGAAAACAACGAAAGACTGCATTCATAATTGCAATATGCACTCAGGAAACTTCAGAAATCTGTAAAAATTGATCTGTTTTCTGCAATATATCCTGTGATGGTACTTCTCGTTTAGATGCTTAATAAGAAACAAATGAAACAAATAAACAAATGAACAAAAACCCACCAAAAAACCTCATGCAGCCAAACAAGGGTGTAATCAAGAATTGTGCTGCTAAATGTGGGAGGCTGGCACTTTCCTTTGAACAGAACTATTTGGATGAGCAGATGAGAACAGAGTACAGACTGGTATCAAAGCCAGAGAGTAATTAGAGACAATTTCAAAATCAGTCCAAAGTCCCCAGAGAAGACAGGGAAGCTGTCTGGGTTCAAAAGTATGATGGAAAAGCATGAGAAGAGCACACCGGGTTCTTGGAGATCAAGCCATGTACACATAGCCAAAGATCAAGGGTGTTCATTTAGGCACAAGGCTCCTGGGAGTGCTGCAGTATAGAAATGTTGGGAATCAGGACACAGAAAAGGCGGAACTGGGAAAATAAAAGGAAAAAGAAAAGCAAGATTCCAGCAAGCCTGGGAAAGGATTTTAGTACTGCCATGAATGCTGAGAACAAGAAAGCTGAGAAATTAAGGACAGGGATCTGTCCTGCTCCTGCAGTGCTTCTGGGCTCTGAGGCAGTGCTGTGCACACCTGTGACATTGAAGGCAGTCTGGGCAGAGGGGCAGGAACAGAAAGAAATTGATGGAAGGGGAAACAAATGACAAAAAACCATCTAACGACATGTGATTTGCAGCTGCTGGGATTCAGACTGTGTGCAAGGAGGGGAAGAAGCTCTCTCCTATCAAAGGATCTTGCTCTTGGGACATGTCAGAGCAACACATATGTCTGCTTACATGGGCTGCTCGTCACTCAAGCTGTGATGCAGTAACCAAAGCCTAAATATCTGCAACTGGCCTCCTGACAGAAGAGTAGCTACCTGCAACAGATGCAACTTGGACCTGGGGCTGGCACATGCTTTTGTCAGAAACATCAGTGCAGCAGGTTCAAATGTGGTCAGGACTTCAGCAGTGGAGTGCAGCAACGCCCTGATCTTAGCCTACAGAGTATATACAACCAGGGCCTGCTTAATTGTTCTTTGTCACAGCAAGTTGCACAGAGCAGTGATACTGCAGGAAGACTGCAAGTTACAATCTTCACACACATCTGAACAAACATGGTCAGCCACCTTTCCTGACATCTCAGCTCTCACACATTTGGCCCTTGTTATGGTAAATTTGTAACCACAACTCCCTGTTGCAAACACAGAAATTCTCACAGACTCTGAAAACAAATGCCTTTAGTGTTTAAGTAAGTATTTCCCTTGCCTTGTCTAGATCTTTCATCCTCACTAAAGCAATATGCACTGAGACTAGAAAACCACACATGGATGCTGACACCAGTCTCAGTTTTCCCCCTTTCCCAAAGGCCATATGGCTCATGGCGGAGGGGATGTGATACTTCTCTGGGAATTAGCACCTGTCTTTTTTAACGTTGATCCTAACTTCTTCCTTTCCTTGGAGCTAGAGTAAAAGATGGGAGTCATGGCAAAACAATCGTGTTCACACCCTCTACCCAGCCCTAGTCTGAAGCGTGGATGCTAACCTTATTGAGTTGGATGTGCTGCTGGATGTGCCTGTAGAGTCCTGCTGACTGCTAAGAGGCATAAAATGGAGTAGGTTTTCCCCAGCTGGGCCTACTGTGCTGCTCCAAAATAGTAGCAGACACAACTTCCTTGTGGAAGCACAGTGAAAGAGGTAAGGAGGTGCAGGAAGAAGAGAAAGGCAAAATTGTGCCTAGCTTATTCCCTTGCATTTATTGAGTCCCTTGGATTCACACAATTTGGCATATTCTTCTTTTGAACATGTCCTGAAAGGTTAATTCAAGCAGCCTGGAGACTGGTGCAGCCTCAGATGTGCTGCCTTTCATCTCAGTTCCCTATTGCTCCCATTCTCTTGCATTGCTTGCCCAGACAATAAACACGTGTGTATTTTGATGACCTCCTGTGCATGCACTGTAGTTGACTCAGTATCTTTGCCTCCTCATACAACAAATATGTCTGTAATTACCAGATATTGCAGTAAGTACATGCATTGTGAGCTCTTTGCACACTGAAGAAAAACAGTCTCCTACACTGAAAAGGTTTTCTTACCAGGGTACAACTATTGGGGAAAAGCTGAGTTCCGTGTCCGCCACAGTAAAAATACTGACCCCTCTTTAAACTGAGGCAAGCATTTGCAAAATGCTTCTGAATGACACAGGAAGGATGAGTTCAGGTTAATTGGCACCACAGTCACATACCAGCTCCAAATGCAAAGAAGAAACTCTTGTCTGGGTGCTCTTCCAGCAGGTCCTTCACCCTCCTGCCCATTCGCTCATTTCGTTTGTAGATGAGCTCTTGCCGGAAGTAGCTGTCTATTTCTTGGGCAGTAATGCGTTCATGAGCTGGAAGTGTAGCATTAATGAAATTTGGGACCTAAGGTAGAAAAAAAAAAGTCTTCATGAAAGGGGAATTTACTTCAGAGGCAGCCATTATGCACAGGCATTTTTGTTCCACACAGAGTGTAGCAACTGCCTCGTCCCTCAAGGCACAGCCAGTAGGACAAAACCCAAAGCAAGCTAAAAAATATTTAATGATCTTCTAATGATGCATGGTGCTTCATTTCTCTCAATGCATCATTTCATGAGCAGATGGATTTTTTTTAATTGAAAGTCAACAAATACTATCATTTTACCATGTTGAAGACCCTAAACCCTGATTGTTCAGTAGAAGAAAGTAAGTATTTGCCCCTAAATGCCTTTAGCTACAGACCTCTTTCTTAAATTGCTACAGGTATGACATAACTATAATGATAATTATGCTCTTCTAAGAGAATTTGACTGGTATCAGAGCCTTCAGGCTGCCAAAGAATAACTGTGCAATTTGAAGTAGTTAAAAAAGAAATCTCTAAACTTTAAGAGGCCCAGATTTTGTCAAGAAGGAACGCGTTACCACCTCCACTTGCCCTGTCCTGACAATATCTTTTAAAATGCTGGCTTCCTCCCCTGGGGCCCCCAAGGACAGCTGTGGCTGCACACTACCCTGACCTCTTGCCAGTGGAGAGAAAACGTGGGTCTGCTATTGTTGCAGCAATCCTGGCTTCTTGACAAGTAGCTTTAGGCATTCAGTTATGGGGATGGTTAACTAAAGGGCCTGCAAGCGGTGATTTCTGGAGAGCAGACCCACTAATAAGCCAGGTGCTTTCCCTTGCAAGGCTGCAGCAGATGCAGAGACTTTGGGTTCCCCCAGAGACTATTACAGAATCTTTCCAAAGGGTAGCGAGCCCAGATGTAGCCATCTACTGGGCAACATGGAGTCAAATACAACTTACGGAGAAGTTGTACTTCAAACATAAGCTGACAGTGTGGCACACTATCAGTATTCAGCTGTGCTGCCAAGGAGAGTGCCCTGAGGTGGAGCCCCTCACATTAAGTAAAGGACAGTTTTTCCCTTGGCAACATGCTGGTCTCAGAGCTGCTCTCTCCAAGGACCTAGGGGCAATGTCTGCAGTCTGTAACATCTCCACAGGATAGTGGTGCAGCATCTGCATCCTCTTAAAATGCTGGTCTCCTCTGAGAAATGCTTTGAAACCTGTGCATAGAGTGCACAGTGTAAAAGCTAGGCAGTATTGAAGACCAGGATGCCTGCACCTGCAGAAGTGTGGGTGTGCAGGATGGGGAGGCAGCAGCACACACACCAAGCTCGTCACCAGAGAAGCAGGAGTTAGTATGGCTCTGCAGCTCTGCGGTTCTGCACTGTATGCCACAGCAAAACGGCTATTCAGCACAGAAAGGTCAGGTACCAACACCTATTCAGCACTCTAAGGATAGAGCCTGTGTTTTCACTGATGTGCATGAATTGCCAGGCAATACCTCACAAACAAGAACAGAGAGGCCTGATGTCTCAGCCTGAGGTTAGTTAATCTAACAGCCCAAATAGGCCAAATTGGTCCCTGCTGGGCATTTTCTCATGGTTTAAAGATCAGTGTTACATTCCATTGTGCTGCTTAGGAAACCATCTCCATAAACCCAAGTCTGTGAGGTCTCAGAAGGTCTCTTTTCCTTCACATTCAGTCTAAATCTATCTTTTCTTTGTTTCACTCCATTTCTCTCCTTTGGGCCTTGTCCACAGCACACAATCATACTGATAGGGAACATTAAAAAGCTTGTAACTTGCCCAGCCTTACAAAAGTGTCCAAGCCACGAGTGCATTGCTCTGTTCTTATTTGCACAAGAGAGCCTGCTGCTGCTTTCTGTTGGCATTAGGTTTGCTCATACCTAAACTAGCTTAATTCCACAGGATCCTTAAGAAAGTAAATTATTAACTCATAGAGCTTTGATGCTAAAGTGAACACGGCACTCATCCAAAAGGGAAAGCCAGGTGCACCTTCACTGCTGGGTGCAGGAGAGGGGTTGAGGTGGTGCAAACTCCTGGAACAGAGGGCTCAGGAAAGCAGATGTGCCAGGGAGCCAGAAACATGCCCCTGGACCTCACCCAGAAAGGAGTGAGAGATGAGCACACATGTTACAGGGGTTAGCACTACAGGGAGATGTGTGTAGCACAAGGGCTGCAGTGGCAAGACTCACTTGAGAAGTGTCATGGTTGAAGATGATGGAGCTGAGGTCCCCACAGTTGTAATGCTTGATAAGGTCTTCTGTCGTATAGGGGATCTGGAAACTGCCTGCTCGGAGGCTCTCCTGCTGCAAGAGAGTCTGATTCAAAGCAAAGACCACCTGAGGGAGGAGGAGAAGGGAGGAAAAGACAGAGTTCCTGGTAAGTTCTCTTTTCATCCCATGAGAAGGTCACAGACACACAGCCACTGGGTGAAGGCTCTCTGAATTTGCTCCTGCTCTGAGCCTGCCAGTCTAGACATCACCAATCCATGCCTCCTACAGCTCCACAGCTGCTCACACCTTGGATCCTGGCTGCTCAGGGGGAATGGACTCACCACGTTTAACTCAATGGGGTTTTGCCTGTGACTTGATGAATACAAACGTTACAAAGGGGCAGGCTGAAGCAGGGGCAACCTTGCTCCCTTAGATGACAGTTTGCCTGACCACCACAGAGCCCCAGGGCCTGACAGGCTCCTATCCTCATATCTCCTCAGCCACCTTCCTAAACTAAGCATGGCTTCTCCTTGTTTGCCCTTCCTTCCTCATTTGCAAGAACTGTCACAGGCTGTTGTTTCCTGCTTTGTGTCTCCTCTCAGACACCACATCTATTTCAGGCAGGAATGGCTCTCTGGAGCAGGCCAGGGAAGAGCTGTGGCTGTTGGGGGGCACGGGAAGCTGCTTTCCCTGCAGCTGTTCAGCACTCAGTCTCTCCCAGCTGACTGCCTCCCCAGGCAGGGTGCTGACAGCATTCCTTCCTCCTCAGCCTTCCCCTGGGAATGCAAACACTCCCAAACCCTTTGCCTCAAGGAAAACAATCTGGCTGCCCAGGGACCTCTCTGTTGTCCATAAAGAGAGAAGATCAGACAAAATCACCCTCCAGATGTGGCTGCCTCCTCACCTCCAGCCCAGCAGGGCTCTCCCAAGGTGGTGGCCTCAGGGCCTGACCCAGACACTGGCTGCTGATACAAGTGTCCCCTGGCATGGGCATTGCACAGCCCACTGCACAGCCCACTGCACAGCTCCCAGGGTGGCAGCCACTTAAAGGGGACAAGAGAGCACTTTGGACCAACAGGTGTCTCTGAAGCCAAAGAGATGCAAAATCTCTGTACCTCTAGCCACTGCAGACAGCGGCCACCAAGCTCCAGAGAGGCAGGAAGCCAAGGAAAGACTTGGGGTGGAACTCCCCAGGCTGAACATGGGATACCTGTTGGTGAGGCACCTTTGGTGAGGCATGGAGCTGCATACTCTCCTGTGCAGGGACCAGGCCTCTGTCAGCACCTGGCAAGTAAAACACTACCATTTCTTCCAAGCACATCTCTTCATGCTTACACTCAGGCTACCACTGGTTTTCATACCAAAACTGGACAACCGTAACAAGCTTTCTGACTACCTACTGCTCTATTATTTTTATTTTTAAAGGAAGTAAGCTCAGATATATTGCTTTGAATTTTTTCAAAAATTACTCATGAGAGTGTTATTTTGTAAGCTCTGGTTACTCTCTGTGTAATTAACTCCTGGACATTTGCCTCAAACACCATCAAAGGCACTCTAGAACTGAAAGTATTTGCCAACACTATGAAACTCACACATGAGTAAGCATACTCAATGTACTGAGACTATGTGAACCAAATTTTGGGATTACAGAGCAGATGTAGAAACAAACAGGTGCAACTTCCCCAGCACAACCATCTGTCTTCTACAGAAAGGTGCAAATTCCATCAAACTTGAAATCATGCTGTTCCCACTACAGCTAGACTTACCTCTTTGGATCCAAACCACTGTGTATGTAACCCAATATGAAAGCACACAACGGAGCATTAATTCTGGGAGGGTGAATAGCAACATTCACTCACATCTCATTTGTGTAAAAAGGGAAAGAATTCATTTTGCTGGTACAAATTGCACTTAACTAAAATAATAACTCCATGTAGATGTTCAGGCAAGTTACATAAAACTAAGCAGTGCCTATCTTGCAAAGGACCTCTGTTATATTTTAAAATAAATTGAACAAAACCAAATTGAAACCACTTTACATTTGAACAAAGGTTTGCATGCAGGCTAGAGTTTATCAGACTCCAAAGTTATTATTTTCCATTTGTTTGGCTTCAGAGAACTCTTGGTGGATGCTGATGACCAGACAACATTCACTGAGAGACAAGCCAAATCCATCCTGAAAATATGAGACTTCTACAGCCATGAGTGCTAGGTCATGCCAGGAAAATGTCACATGTACAATCAGTCCAGCCGAAACCACTTCCATGAGAATGGCCTATTTTTAAGCTATTGGATACCACCTGCTTGATTATTTACCATTAAAGCAGTATGCCCTTTTTCAGACTTGGAAACAATGACCAGACAGTCCCTGTCCAGACAGCAGTCAGGAAATGTAGCAGCCTCCTGAGCTGTTCAGGTAGCACTGCCTCAATGTAGACTAAGTACATCAAAGAGGCTTTGCAATCTTTACTGTTTGATTTTCATCCAAACACAAATCAGTAGAGGGTAACTGGCTTCTGGGGAGAAAACACCAGCCTGCTGGGTGAGACGTGAGAAAAAAGACAATCTTCCTCTCTCTGCTGTACCCCTGCAGCCTGTACTCCTGCTGTCACTTGCTCTGCATGCTACCCTCAGATCCAAACAGATCTCTTCCCTTCTCCCTTGCAATGTGCTTTGGGTGAAATAGATTGTCTTGCCTCCAAACAGACTGGGCCTGCACTGCAGCAGCCAGGCCAAGCCATACAGGCATCTTCCTTCCCGTAAGCACACAGTAAGCTGCAAAGAGCTACATATGCTGCCCCAAAAACACAGCATAAATTTCAATGATGACCTACAGTTATGGAGGATGACTGCACAAATTTTCACAGGAACAGAGGCAACTCACCCCCTCGTCCTCCATATCTCAAATGTTACTGCTGACATGACAAACAACTGTCCCAGTGAGGCAGCTTTAGCAGCTCTATGGCCTTTGCTAAGAGTCCACCTTTCTGGTTGGAGGTGTGAGAGTTGATACTGGACATATGAAGAAATTTCAGGACAGCAGCAGCTGAAGGGCTTGCCTGCCCAAATGGGAAAGCACGAAAGACCTTTTACAATGAGGTTGTTCATGTTTCATCTCAAAGAACAAAGTGTCCCAGCGCACTGCTCAAGACTCCTACATCCCATCCTAATCACAACTGCCTGGGACTCCATGGCCATATTGGTGGTTTGAGTAGCAATGCATCAGCTGCTTTTCTTCTTTTGTCATGGAGGACTACAGCTGTTCCCTGACAGCTCAGGTTTCCCCACAAACAACTTTCCCCACTTAGACCACCTGTACTATTTCCACACAAACAACTTTCCCCACTTAGACCACCTTATATTTCCCCACTTAGACCACCTGTACTATCACTGTACATAGTACATGAGGGGAGGTCACACAAGAACCACCTGAAGTCCCCCACACAGAGAGTGGGCCTCCACCTTGGTGCTGTGAGGGACGGGGGTGGTCTCTGCTCCTTTGAGTACAGCAGCAGCAGCTCAAGTCCTTCTGCACCAGAAGCAAGAAAATCAAGATACAACAAAGAGGCAGAAATCAAGAGAGCATCAATGTCCTTGACAATCAGCCCTCCCTAATGAGTTACAGTAATTCATGCATCAGGCTTTGCACAGCTGGAGTACAGGAAATTCTGTTGTCAAAAATACTCTCCACATCAGCTGGTCTGAACAGAACGGTGGCATCTGCTGGAGGGGGGATGATGGCACACCTACTGAACAGCTACACAGGATTACAATTTGCCATCAGTGTAAGTGTACAGCCTCTCAAAGCAATTAGATAGTTCCCCTCAATTCCTGTATCACTCCTACCTTCTTGGGGGAATTGAAAGTCCTCAGCAGAAAGAGAGGAGTAAAGGGGCAGGATCTGTTTGCGATATCAGAGGTTGCTTAAAGCTCTGCCCTAGTGAGAAGGTTATCTCCAGTAAACAGTAATGGATAAACATTGTCAGGGTCTCAAAAAAAAAAAAAAGGTTAAGATTCCTGAACCTACTGTTCTTGAAGGATTTAATTTACTGAGATGGGTCTTGCTCAGAAGTTGATAACTCATTATCTGTCATTACTTCTCAAAGAAAACATTAGACTGGGTGCAAAGTGATGCTTAAAGAAGACCACAGCCATCAAACTCTGCAAACTGGATCTCAGTCTTGTTTACCAGGTGTGAAAAACTGAAGAAAGTCAACAGAGCAGAAGCAGGTACCACATCAGCAGCTGGTCTGAAATTGCTATATTTGCTAGGCACAAATATTGCTTGCCTTCCAAAATCCCCATTTGATCCTGCAGTCCTTTTATTGCTAGTAATTCCAAGCAGTTAAGAAAACAGCAAATATGGAAAGGTTAAAAAGAAATTTTTGTTTTTTCTTAGAAATGAAACCTAAGAATTTGGGTAGATCTGAGCTCCTCCAGTACGTGGTACAAAAAGTATTCTTCTGTTTTGCAGATATCTCTTGTATTACACTATTTTACTATTTCCAAGATCTTTCCTGTGTTGGAATGCACAGAAATCACTCTACATTCATCCTCCTTGCAAGGCTATTCTTCCTCATTTCACACACCCCCTCCAGCAACTCCATCCTACTCTGCTCCATTAAGTGTATTCATACTAGCATCAAAGCATCTTCTGAAAAGATGCATTTGGAGAACAAAAGTAACAAGTTTATTAGAAAGGGATTTTTTTTATCTCCCACCTCCCATTTTCACTGTGATCCCTGTTTTCCCCCAACCCTCTCCCTTTTTGTACTGTGGAAAAAATCGATTAAGCTCTCCAGTATAGATATTGCTGCAAACCTCATTCTCCTCCTGGAGATTTCTTCAGCTGTCAGGAGACACTTGTCCCCTTTGCTAGCATTGTTGAAGTGGCCTGCTAGGCTAAGGGGGTGGGGAAAGGGGAGTTAGAGCCTGGCAGATGCCTTTTTTGTCAAAGACAAAAGACCCCCTGCCATCCTCTCCACTTTTCAGTACTTTCATCCACATTGGATCAAAGTGCTACTCTGCATATGAAAGGAACCTGGCATTATTTGCCTCAAATTAGCCTATCGCCATCCCGCTAGCCTCCAAGTCTTCCCAACAAAAGCACTCACATCTGTTCCATC